TTATTTTATGTTTATCCTCACCCGAGGGCATTTTTGCATTTATCTTCAGAGAGAGCGGGAGGGAGAAAGAGAGAGAAACATCGATGTAAGAGAGACACATCAACTGGCTGCCACCCACACAACCCCAACTGGGGTCGGGGACAAACCGCAACCGAGGTACGTGCCTGAATCTGGGACTCGCTGGTCCACGGGCTTGTGCTCTAACCGCTGGGTCAAACTGGCCAGGGCTACTTCCTTTTCTTAATCAGTAGGGTCTTGGTCTGTAGAGGTGGGATGTCAATCACTTCTCCTTCACCCAGATTGTAAATGTCCTCACCCACCAATGCAGACAATGGGAGCAGGTTTTAATCTGGACTGGAACTTTCTGTCCAAGTCTTGAAAGCGTATGGGACGGACTCTTGGAAGAGACCATTTGGAGGATGTTCACTACTGTCGCACAGGTCGAATCAGAGTCCTGTCACTTTCAGGACATTTTATGATTGTGATGGCCAACGAGTTCTGATGGTCAAACCCACTGCTTGATTAGGAGACCTAACAGAGTATTGAGCATATTCTTAAGAGGCTGCCCACTAATTCCATTTCCTCACCTCCCTCTCTTTCCCAAACTCCTCCTAATTTATCTGCCTTTGGTGGTTCCCGCAGAAGACACTCAAGGACCGAGGCCATCTTTCTGTGCCCCTCAGCAAAATCCAGTTCTTCCTTCTGATGAACTTGGATCTGTAACTGCCGTTCTACTCCTGACTGTCTGCACACACAGTGGTTTCATTCCAAACCCATTCTTCAATTGCGGATGTCCTCAACAGAATGACTCTTCCTCTAGATCAGATAGTTCAACCATCCCCACGGGTTAGTCATACTGATGTCCCAAAGACCTCTGGCCCCATTTTCTCCCTAAATTCTAGTCCCATCTATCCAATTGCCTATTGATTTTCTGTAGCGATAGTCACCCCTCATGCCTGTAACCTCAAGCCTCAGAAGTTAATTTTCCTTCAGCTGATCTTTCCCATCATCCCATCCTGCTGATGTACCACTGTCCTACGTATTATCACAAACGTGTCTCTTGGATTTTCTAAATCCCCTCATTTCACTAAATATCGACTTTAGTGTATTTTATTCTCCATTTCCACCACCACATCCTTGTGCAAGCTTTCATCATCAACGTTTATGTAGCTCTCTTGATTCAAGGAAATACAAGGAGGGAAAGTCTTTACTATTTGCTTATGACTTGCTGCCTTAACACACAATCCTTTGGATGTCCTTCCTCAATTCTTAGAAACCTTTCAGGAACATCTAAGGGATTTCAAATTAGTTTTAGTTACGAGTCTCACTTTGGTCATTAAGATTCATGATCGAGTATTAAAAAGTTTATTAAAAGATTGAGCTTCCAGGGAGTGCAAAGATTCTACCATTTCACCGGCTCACGTCTGATCACTTGCCCTTTTCCCTTGCTCTTCAATTCCCTTTCACCCCTGTGTCTCCTGGCAATGTTATTATTTTCCTGCCATCCCTGGGTGGCCATCAAAGCCATTGGACACTTGTGTGTTTTCTGAGTGGTCCCATGAGTATCTCCACTTCGCCAAGTTCCCTGACCTGAGTGTTGCTCTCTATGGCTGATTATCTTGTGGGGCCAACAGAACAGAACACCCCAAAGACTTTTGCCAGAGTCCCATCCTTCAAGAAGACTCCCTCATGTTCAGTGTACCTTCAGGTGACTCAGTACTAACCATCTTAAAAGGCGTTCACTGGCTTATGGGAAACTCACTCCTCTTTGCCAAATATTATGGTGTTGGCATTGTTGCCTTCGCTTGTCATTATAGCTGCTCTGGGTGAAATCAGGATTCTCTGACTGAGGAGCAAGCACCTTTTCTGTGGACATATAGACTACTGAACCCCGTGGTAAGCTGTCCCCAAACTCCCTACCACCCTTCCCTCCAGGGGTAGCATCAGACTGGGCTTAGAAACGTCTGCCTCATAGTAAGAACTAATCACGAGAAGCAAGTACCTCCCATTTCTCCGAGTGAAGGGGTTGGAATGCCTTCCTCAGCCTAGGGAATGTTGAGGGATGAGCTGGGAGTGGATGTAATGTCCCTCTTCACTAAAGAAGTAACTCCTTTTTTTACGCCTTAGCTGAGAAATCTTTAATGGTTTTCTAATGCACTCAAAAATGAATCTAAAGTTATTTCTGCGTACTACCAAACCCTACATTTTCTGTGGTCTCCCTTCCCACCCTCCCAACACCTACCCAATTTCATTTTCCGCTCTTCTCTTGGTTGGTGCAGGTCAGTGCCTGCTTCTCAGAGATGTCTTCCATTTCAAGTTGTCCAACCAAAAGATTTTCCTATACAGCTCTCATTGGTTCTAACGAGAAATGTAGAGGGGATAAACCTGTGACTCTTTGATCTTTATCTTCATCTACCTGGCTCAGATCCTCAAAAGCAAAGATGTGTATGGTACGGCAAAAAAGTATAGGTGGTCTCACTTCAGTTCTGTGGTGCAAGAAAGAGAAGTTACGGTGACTGGAGTTCGACACGTGTTTTCTAGACTTTTCTAATTCACTGGCCTCTGTGGATAAGTCAGACCCTTGTATCACTTACATTTACCCTTTTCTGTAGTTGATTATCCAGTGAATGCAAAAGTATTTAGCAAACTGTGAAATTAACTTAGAGAGTTGGGTAAAGACAGTAGAATAATAATGGTAGCTGGACCAGTCACCCATGAAATGTCACCTATGAAACGGTCCTCTCATAGGTGACAGTTTCCATCTACATTCTCATTAGTGAATGTGTTATGTTTGTACCCTCAAAAGCTGAAACAATAATTTTCTTTTCTTTAAAAGCACTCTATTAAAATGTCAAGGTTTATCTTGACTGCTACTTTTTTTTAATGTAAATGTTTGGACTTAATTGAATTCCTCATACTTGATGTCACTTGGAGTTCTGATGGGGTCCAGTAATTTGGTCTGTAAAGATATTTCTCCCTGAAATGAAAAGTATGACAAAAACGTTATTTGCCACAATGACAGAAAAGTGGTTAACATAGCTATCTGTGAAATGTTTATTGTGAAATCCTTAAAGTCTAGGAGCTAAGCTGATATATTCATGCTGCCCCCCACCAGGGTACCTACTAGAATTTTTTATAAGTGAATGTACCCTGAACTATATGTAATGGATAAGTGGTTATGGTTGGGAATTCTACAATTATACAAATTGAGTTTATTTTGAATGTCAGCATTCCATCTTTAAAAAACAAAAACAAAAATATTATTATTTTATATTTAAGTTTTCTTTGCCAAACTAAATTCAAGAATTTGTCATGCTCAAATTTGGATCTTTCTTTCTTTCTTTCTTTCTTTCTTTCTTTCTTTCTTTCTTTCTTTTTTCATTCATTCATTCATTCATTCATTCATTCATTCATCTATTTTTTGTTAAACCTCACCCAAGAATATTTTTCTATTGACTTTTTTTGGAAACATCGATGTAAGAGAGAGACATTGATCGGTTGCCTCCTGCACTACCCCAGCTGGGGCCAGAGATCAAACCTGCAGCCCAGGTATATGCCTTTGAGCAGGACTCAACCTACAACCCTCCATTCTGCAGACCAGCACTCTAACCGCTGAGCCAAATTGGCCAGGGCCAAATTTGGGGCATTATCATAAACTTTATTTACTTTCTGCTTTTTGAGTTTATTTATATATATTTTTAATGTTTTCATTGATTTTTTTAGAGAGAGAGGAAGGGAGAGAGAGAAACATTGATGTGAGAGAAAAACGTCCATCAGCTGCCTCCTGCATGCCCCCCACTGGGGATCGAGCCTGCAACCCCGGCATGTGCCCTGACCAGGAATCGAACTGGGACCTCTCAGTTCATGAGGTGACATTCAGTCCCCTGAGCCACACCAGCCAGGCTTACGTTTATTTATTTTTTAAATCCTGAAGAAAGAATGTGTGTGTCATCTAGGCTGTGTCATTCTGGCAGGTAGACTGACTACAGAACTAAAGTTGTATAATATTAACCTGAGAGTAAATCATTTCATTCAGGGTCAACTCCTCTATGAACAGCTTTATAATCTCATTTGCTGCCTTGAATGAAATACTAATACATCATTGCAAATGTGGTCAAGTTTTGGTCAAATGTTATGCCCTCATTGTATATCAGCTCCTCCTCACTAAAAAGTATACTTATATTTGGAACAAAATTGTGGCTTAATTTTTAAAAATCAAACATCCTCATGTGATACATAATGTATCATGGGAGTCTCCATTCCTTTTATGTGTAACCCCAAACAAGTCTGACCATGGTATTTAAGGAATTATTGGAGAAATAAATCTATTTCTATGAGTCAGTCATTAAGATGTGTCTAAGTAAAGTATACTTGGAGTTTATGAAGTTTATCAAATTTATCAATGGATACAATTTATGGATTTTATTTATAAATAGATAGATAAATTTTTTTCCGTGTCAAGAAAGCAAAAACTTCCTAGGGACAGTAGAGGATACCCACAGCTGCACCTGTCCCAGAAGCTCAGTGTCCCCCCTGTCCTAGCCCTGGGAGCCAGGGACAGGAGAAGGTACTAATGTAGGGATAGGTCGGCCACATACTCTAATTCCCACTTTATTTGCCAACTCAAATTCTTTGTGCCTTATTTTTACTCATCAAACCAAAGACTTCTGTTGGTTTTTCTGATTAGCCACAAACAATACTTTCTTTCTGTTTTCTGAAATTTAAAGTGGGAGCCCACTGGACTCATGTATTCCTCTCCCCAAAGCTTCAAAGTTTTGATTGATTCTCGGCTATTATATGGTAGGAGTATATAATAGTGTGCGTGTATATATATATGTATGTATGTATCTCCCTATTCTCTTGCAGCTCCTTGATTAGGAAGTGAACGGATATAGACCTTTACAATAATCTGGAAGATAAATCGAAAGGCTTATGAGGTTGATAGCTAGCAATGTTAAATGTTATCTTTTCAGAAGTAGTAATTATTCTCCCTGTTACAGATCCCTTCAAATTGATTGGACGTCTCCAGGGAAACCAAATGGCGTCATTCTCGGCTACTCTCTCTTACGGAAAACACGGTACCCGTGCCCGACGACCCAGAAAAGTCACAGCAGTGAGCCCTGCAAGGCAGTGATGTGTCAAAACCCTGAAACCGCCTGTGGACACAGGTGCTATTCTCCGGAAGCTAAGGTGCGTCTTTCCCGACCCATCAGAGAAGTATGTTTTTTTCCCACAAAACACTCCAGGTGAAATCACTTGCTTCTCAAGCCATGATGTATCATGCTCAGTATTTTCCACCAGTCTATCAACAGGACCCCATGGCAGAGAAAAGAGGCTTATAAAAATCCCATCATCCTCATGAGCGTTTCAGCCTCCTCGTTTTTCATCTTCACGGGAAATCTTAGTTTATTGAAATAATAAGGAAGCCCCCCTGAACTTGTATTTGATGGAGTGACTTGGATTTTTTTTTTTTTAACAACAAATCCATTCAGCTACAAGTAGGTGTTTGTATACAAGACACTGATGAGTAACTGTGAGTGCGACCTTTCATGGTTTGTCAGAAATATTTTAAAATTATGGCCATTTGCAGATTAATGTGCGTATTAGTTGCAGTTTATGAATCAGATCAATAACACAGCCAGACAGAGGAGTTTGTAAATGGCTTTTATTGACAAACGATGCAGGAAATTCTGAGTTTGAAGGTAGGATTTCAAATAATGAAATAATGTTCCTATTTATCAGCAGCATCACATTTCATGACTGAAGCGACCACTAAATTCCAAAGATTCACTGCCAAAGGACACAGTAATTAAGAAAGTGAGTTTTTGCAGCAATATGGATCAAAACACAAATTATTGTGGCTGACATTGGCTCAGTGGTTATCACCTGAGAAATGTTATGAAATAGCTGTTAGCTGTACAAACTAGCCTTTTTTTTTCTTTTTTCTGACACGTAGTCTCAAGAATCATCATTAACCCTTTGTGTTACGTCATTTCAGGGCAAGAAATGCACACTGATGAACATAGTTCGTAAAATTAAATTAAGGATTTCTTAGAGGAAAATGCTGGAATGAATTTGCCTGTTAAAAATGTTTTCTAAGAGACAGAAAGAAAATCTTGATGCATTACACAAACTCTTTATTTTCAGGATTCAGTGTGTACAGGTGTTGTCAGGGAAAGAGAATAAAGGAAGTCCATTAAAATCTCAAAAGAGCATGGCCGGTGTAGTTCAGTGGTTGAGCATCGACCCCATGCACCAAGAGGTCGCCAGTTCGATTCCCAGTCAAGGCACATGCCCGGGTTGTGAGCCCAGGTTGCATGGGAGGGGAGGGGGGTGGCGTGCAGGAGGCGACCAGTCGATGTTTCTCATCAATGTTTCTATATCTCTCCCTCCTTTCCCATCTCTAAAAATCGGTAAAGAAAAATATCTCAAAAGAAAAGAATTGTAAATTTCTGTTGGAGGTTAACTGTGAATATGTATTTCCTGAGTGAGAGGTTGGAGAAAGATAGAAGAGACTTACTGTGAGTCTGAGAACCTTCCGGCTGAAAGTCTGTACACGTCAGGAGGACCTGAAATGGACAAGGGTCCCCATGGGCGCAGCTGTGGTTGTCAAACCCCAGTGAGCATCAGACCTGGAAGGCTTCTTAAAGCCCAGGCTGCAGAACCACCCGGAGACTCAGAGTCAGGAATCAGGGGCGGGGGCGGGGGGCACAAGAATTTGCATGTCTACCTGTACACAGGTGACACCCCTGCCTGCTCCAGGGACCACACTTTGAGAATCACTAGGTTACGGAATTTCTTTTGGAACCTATAGAGCAAGGAGGAGTTTGCCTGTTTGAACCTTAGCTACGCACACACTTACCCGCTCAAGTTATTGAAATTTCCAGGTAGGTTTTTTGAGACAACTGACTTACAACTGAATTAAGAGATTACGAGATATTCTGTACATGGGGACACCTCCCAGAGAAAGACTTGCTTGAAACTGGGATCGAAACCGAGTCGTTTGGAGGAAGGAAGGAGTCCTGTGCAGGTCACTGACAACGAATGGGTGGTAACCAACCTGTCCTACTGGCCCATCACTAAGTAAATATTTGAGCGAAAGTGTCCAACAAGGATGATAAGCCCTGGAGAAGCTTCCTGAAGGAAGCAGCGGCAGGGAATTAAGTGTCAGAAGCACACGGTAGGCGAGTGAGACTTTAATAAATGCCTTGCGGCCTCACTGTCATCAAACGTGAAAGGGAGATGTTTTTACCCTGAAAACAACAATGACCAACATGCCTACATCCCAAATAAACCCGAAGAGAAGCTGTTACTTTTTCTAACTTAAAAATAGGGCATACTGCCCTGGCTGGTTTGGCTCAGCAGTCAGAGCGTCAGCCTGTGGTCCAGAGAGACCCGGGTTCGGTTCCCGTTAAGGGCTTGTACTTCGGTTGCAGTTTGTCCCCGGACCTGGTTGGTTGTGCGGGTGGCAGCCACTCGATGTGTCCCTTTCACGTCAATGTTTCTCTCTCTCTCTCTCTCTCTTTCTCTCTCTCTCTCTTTCTCTTTCTTTCTCTCTCTCCCTCCCACTCTATCTGAACAAAAAATGGAAAAATGTCCTTGGGTGAGGATTAAAAAAAAAAAAAAATAGGGCATACTTTCCAAACTTACTTTTCACACAGAACATGGCATTGAAGAACAGTCACCCAACTGCATGTACCCTGGGAGTCAGACAAATTGTGAACCCTCGTTGCTAACAACTAACCACAGCAAGGGAAACGGATTGCAGTTGGATTCCCAGAACCACCCGAGCAACCACACGGGTTGACTTGGAATTGAAGAGCCCCATTTCTCTGTTCCTGGGGAACTTCTCAAAAACAAAGTGCTAAGCTACTGGCCCTTTGAAAGACGTAGGGAGCCCACCCTCCGGTCCGTGGATTGAGCTCGGTTCAAGTGTGGGTGCAGGCTGCTAGTAGCTGTGAGTAAAAGAGACACCTCGTGAAGAGGGCTGATGTGCCTGTCACAGGAGGGCATCTGTGCCGGGTGGGTGCGGCCTGCCACCCACGGGTTCTGAGGCCACATTTCAGAACCGCACACTTTCGTTGGTTTTACGGCGTGTCAGTTTTGCAGACCGCAAGTGAGCATGCAAAGAATTATTTGATTGTTCAAGCGTGTCATTTCTTCCCCAGCTCCTGGAGGAAACACACACGGTTAAAAGGGCTTGTCAAAATGAATTTCCATACAAATGTTCTTTTTTTTAATGTGACATATATATACACACATACATAGACATATATATGTGTGCCTATGTATATATGTAAATGTTGGACTCTTTTAAGATCACCTTGTCTGAAGATTGGGTTCATAAATAAGTGACCTTTTAAATTATAAGGAAAATGCAGTTTATTAAAAGGAAAGCAAAAAAATAAATAAATCAGTGAGAGTCAGGTTTCCATAGATGTTGAATTCAAATAAACAACCATTATCATAGAAACATATATATGGAGAAAATTGTTTATTTATCATTCTAAATCACCTTTGCATTGGAAGCACAGACATTCAAAATGCAATTCCTATTTATGGAATATTGTAATAGAGCACAGAGCATGGTTGAAGGCTAAAAAGCTACATTGTATCAACTAGTATCTATAGAATCCGATGATGCTGAGTAAATGTGTTTTTCGACGTTGGAATTTTTCGCAGACACACGCTACGCTTGGTCTCATAGCAAGGTCTATTAGAAAACAATGTGTCACAGAAGATATGGTGGTGAAATAGTCTTAAGTAATGGGTGTTTTTCTCGAATCCTGTTTCAGGTTTGCTGTGCTGGCGTGCTTTATGACGCCCGGCCGGAATACCGTTGCTGTGATGACAAGTATGTCCCCTTTGTTTTGAATTCGACGGGGGTGTGTTGCGGTGGCCGCATACAAGAGGCCCAACCAGACCATCACTGCTGCTTGGGGTATTACGTTAGAATTCTACCAGGTGAGGGTGGTTGCCAGGTGCACTTGGTAATCTTGAGACCCAGAAATCGCAGACACAAGGCTCATGTCCTGTTTCAAGGACCTCCCCACTGCAAATGGATCACTCACACACAGCCAATCACCAGCTTAAATAGCAGGTCTTCCTTTGGCTTGGTTGAAATATCAAGGCAAAGTACAAAACAGCGAGGGAATATAGGGACTTCTGTTATCGACGCCATAAAGAACTGGATCTAGACAGCCAGGTAACTCCCTTTATTCTGTGATTTCTTTTACTCACACGGGTAACTGTTTTAACCACAAAGTCTGTGGATTTGGACATGTTCCACTCCATGAAGCTCTCCTCCACGTCCTCCGTTTCTATTCTGACCTGGCTGGTGAGCACCACGGGGCTCATTTGTCTGAGACTAGTCCCTGGGGAGTCCCCACTGACTCCAGGGCCGGGTAGGGGAAGGGACAGCAAGCATGGCGTGTTCCTGCCTCTCATTGTTTTGTTTTTTTCTTGTTTATCAGCTGACTCAATTTTCTATATTTCAACTACACAAAACAATGTCCAGAGACCGTAACAGAGAAAAAAATAGCAGCAATCGGTGTTTCTAAAATAAGTTTGTGACAAACTCTGTACTAAGGACTTCATGCGGGATACCTTATGTATTTGTCATAGCTTCTGAGATGGGTGTTTCATCTCCAGTTCACAAACAAGGAAAGAGGTTCAGAGAGGAGCGTAGCCTACCCGGGCTCATCTAGATGGAGCGAAAAGCTGAAATGAAAAGCTCGGTATTTCTCCAAAATCCATGTTCTTTTGAGAGCTGAACTTATATAAAACCAAGACATGCTAATAGGTGTTGAAATCAGGTTTTTTTTGTTTTGTTTTTTTTTATCCTCACCCGCGGACACTTTTCCATTTTTTGTTCAGATAGGGTGGGAGGGAGAGGAAGAGAGAGAGAAACATCGACGTGAAAGGGACACATCTAGTGGCCGCCACCCACACGACCAACCGGGGACAAACTGCAACCGAGGCACTTGCTCCCAGCGGGAACCGAACCCGGGTCTCTCTGGACCGCAGACCGACACTCTAAGCACTGCGCCAAACTGGCCAGGGCGACATCAGTTTTTAAATGACTATTCGGATGTCTAAAAAACTTATTGCTGCTTTTGTCAGTTACTTTTTATCCTGGAGACGCCATTGAGAACATTTTTTTTTTCCCTATCGTCCAAGTTTAATGCCTATGTCTTCTTTAAAAGTCCAGAAATGGCCCGGCTGGTGTGGCTCAGTGGCTGAGCGTCAACCCATGCATCAAGAGGTCACTGGTTCGATTCCTGGTCAGGGCACATGCCCAGGTTGTGGGCCCGATCCCCAGTGGGGGGCATGCAGGAGGCGGCCCATTGATGTTCTCTCTCATTGATGTTTCTCTCTCTCTCTCCCTTCCACTCTCTCTAAAATTAATAAAGAAAAAAATATTTTTAAAAGTCCAGAAATGGATATGGGAAAAAGAAAAGAAAGGTATATATTTGGGCGCCCAAGCAAAACTGAATGCTTTGAGACTTTTAGTTTAACAAAAAATGTGTGCCAAATACTTAGTATTAAATGTTATTCAGTTTGCCTTGAGTTTGGTATAAATATATCCATCCAAAGTGTGTGAAATGAAAAACTATCTCACCCAGCATCTCTCTGCAAAACCCCGGGGGCAAAAGGAGAAGGTGAAATGATTAAATACCGGGCGGATTTATTTAAGGCAGAGATCTTTTATTCATCGTAATTTTCCCTTAAAGTTGATAGGAGAATCTGTTTATGTAGCAGGACTGTTCTTCTCATTCTCACACAAAAATACTTTCATAATTAAACAACATAATCAACTAGATTTTCCAATAAGGAAACACAATGGGGATGGGAATAGGACTATGCTGAGAACAGTGTAACTTCTGTATACTGCAAGGCACAGTATTAGCAACTAACTCAATACCGCCAAAGCCTTTATTCTTCCAAAATACACTACACTGGAGGGGCTTTCAACTACAGTTTATATCTTCTCTCCCTTGCAAACAATTGCCTTGAAAATTGTCATTACAACCCGGCCAGTGTGGCTCAGTGCTTGAGCATCAACCCATCCACCAAGATGTCACCGGTGCAATTCCCGGTCAGGACACATGCCCAGGTTGTGGGCCCGATCCCCAGTGGGGGGCTTGCAGGAGGCGGCCAGTCGATGTTCTCTCTCATCCATGTTTCTATCCCTCTCCCTTCCTCTCTCTCTCTCAAAATCAATAAAGGCAAAAAAAATTTTTTTTAAATATTGTAATTACAGAGATGAGATGGAAATTTTCTGTTGTCCCATTCTTCAAGCTCAAAGACCATTCTTAGCTATTATCTAAGTTGAGCATAAAACACGATACTGTTTTCATTTCTAAGTCACATTAAAATTTTTGATGGTATTTGCGGTGAACTGTTCAACTCTAAAAAATATCCGCCATCCCTTAAAATGGATGGAAAATACTTGGTTGCCCCTATTAATCACAGCTATCAATTAAGACTTGAGAAACTGGCTGGTCACCTTCTCATTCCTAACACACAGTGGCAGATTTGAATCCAAGACAACCGTCTACATTTGTTCTATTTTCAAATAAATTTTACGTTTTGTTTTTCTTTCCCCCTAAAAATGAAATGTCGTGGAAACCCAAAGAGTATTCATTAATATTATGCAAAACTTATAATAAGTAATTTTTTAAACTGATCTTAAACCTCCATGCTCTATATATTGACACAGACTCACTCTGACCTCAAGCATTTTAATATCTACCAAACGCTAAACATGACCCACATTCTTTTAAATAGTTCCTTTTTCTCCCTGGCCAGTTTTGCTCAGTGGTTAGAGCGTCAGCCCATGGACCAGAGAGTCCCGGGTTTGGTTCCCGCTAAGGGCACATACCTCTGTTGCAGTTTGGCGACCAGTCAATGTGTCTCTCTCACATCGATGTTTCTCTCTCTCTCTCTCTTCCTCCCTTTCTCCCTCCCGCTCTATCTGAAGATGAATACAAAGATATCCTAGGGTGAGGATAAAAAATAAATAGTTCCCTTTTCATAGTATTAGAATGCCTATCATGTCAAAGGGGGGGGGGGAGCAATCTTATGGGGTAATCAGAGAGAGTGTTTTACACCAATCAGGAATCGCATGTAACTAAATGAAGAGATTATAGTGTGACCTCTATCCTCAGCCAGTAGTCACTGTTTATATCCAGAAAGAAAGCATGCTTACCCCCAAACTATCTTGTATTGAAATGTCATTAAAATTCAATCCGTTGTCTACCCATTCAAGGCCGGCATGGGCATAGGCATTTTGATTCTTATAGATGGGTCTGAAGTATTGGTTAATAACATCTAGCTTATTTTTTTCTCAAACAACTTTCCTTCTTAGCACCCATAACAAAGAATGGCAGAGAAAAAAAATGCTCATTACTCTGCCCCTTTTTTATAAATATGCTAATGACCTCAAGCTAAATGTTAATGTGGGTCATTCTCGGATAAGAATAACAATTAATGGTTGAGACCAGCATGGTAGCTTTTAGAGAGAAAACATTTTCAAGCTGGTGGTGAAAGAGATTCATTTCTGAGAGGTTAATGAGAAGGTGACTGATCCTTGCATTTTAGGTCTAATAGCCCTTTTTTGAGGGGGGAAAAATCAGTTTTATTTCTCATTGATATAATCCACCTCTTTTTTCATGGAATCTTCTCTGCTGTCAGTAACTGAATAAGATTCTGAGGGATTCAGGGAAATATGGCTAAACTATGCAAACCAAGTATTTGTTATACTCAAAAGTGGCTTTTAAAAATAGTGTTGGTTTTTCCCCAATATAGACACGTATGCTGTTTCCTCTGAGCTGACTGTTGTCCTAAGTGATGTTTAATTAACTCTGCTGCCTGAATACCATGTGATACAGTGACTTAAAGGGAATTTGCCAACAAGGGACACTGTGTTCTCTAACTGTAAGATTTAAGAAATATGGCAACTAGCCTGGCCAGTGTGGCTCAGTGGTTAAGCATTGACCCATGCACCAAGAGGTCTCCAGTTCAATTCCCTTTCAGGACACAAGCCCAGGTTGTGGGCCAGATCCCCAGTGGGGGACGTGCAAGAGGCAGCCAGTTGATGTTCTCTCTCATTGATGTTTCCATCTCTCTTTCCCTCTCCCTTTCTCTCTCTCTAAAAATCAGTAAAGGAAAAAAAAATTTAAGAAATATGGCAACTATATTTAAGACCAAACTGAAGAATCCTTTTATCCAGAGGAATATAAGGAACACAGCAACTTTCCTGTTCACAGGAAACTCATTTCTTCTTCACTGGCCTCTAGTAGAATCATGATGAAGAATTCACTAAGTTCCCTTCTACTTATAGATACCACGTTGTAGGATCTGATTAAGCCGGCTGCCCCCTACATTCCATTAATTCCTACTTGAGAGAAAATCGAGTGTACATTGGCCCACTCTCTAGTATATTATAATGACTCCTCTCATAATTGCCAGAAAGTAGAAACAGCTCAGATGTCGCTCAGTGGGTGAATGGACCAACTGGGTGTCCACACCAAGGAACACTATGCAGCCATCAAAAGGAACAAGCTATTGAGACATTCCAAAAAGGCATCACCCTGAGTGGAAAAAACAATCTTGGAAAGCTCTAGACTGTGAGATTCCCTGATGTGACGTACATGAAGAATTAAAAACCAAAATTGCTTCATAGACACAAACATATGACCAGAGGGAAAGGTAGGCTGAGAGGGAGGTAGAAGAGGGGCTGGGGGCGGTGAATGGTGATGGAAGGAGTCTTGACTTGGGGTGGTGAACACACAATACCGTACACAGATGATGCGTTGTAGGAGTGTGCACCCGAACCCTGTATCATTTTATGAACCAACGTCACCCCCAAGTTGCATCGAGGCTCAGCGGCTCCAAGAGGGCAGTCTTCTGTCGGGTAATTCTCCCAGCCTCTTGGCCTGTGCAGGGTGACTGTGAGTCGGAGCGTGTTCTGCTAACTCACGCACGATGCATTGTCCTCGGCCGGCAGGTGAAGTGTGCTGTCCAGACGAGCAGCACCAGCGGGTTTCTGTCGGCATCGGCGACGCCTGCTGCGGCCGGCTGCCCTACTCCACGCGGGGCGCGCAGGTGTGCTGTGCGGGGACGCTGCACGGTGGCCTCGGCCGGCAGTGCTGCGGGGCGCAGGTGGTCAGCCAGGATCTCCAGTGCTGCGGGGGAGCGGACGACGGGGCGGTGTACAGCCGCCGGCCAGGTAAGCGCCTCGTGCCCCTGTCAGTACAGAGACCACACCCAGCGCTGCTGGAATTCATTAAGACGCCACCGCAACAGGTGCATCTCCTTCTCACGCAGGGGCGCTGAGGGGGGACCCTGCCCGCAGGTTAGCTCTGTGCCCACAGTCATTCTGGCTGCTGGGGAAACTGCCCTTGGCAGCGGGTCACCTGGGAACGGTATCTGTCCCTGCCGCCAGAGGGGAACGCGCGTGGACGGACGTGGGGGTTTTCATTGCCCAGGCCGAGAAGAAGCAGGTACTGTTGTGACCATTCCGCTGATAGAACTCAGCTCTCTGTAAGCACCTGCGTGCCAGGGGGCGGGGAGGTTTCTCCGGAGCCACTGTCGCTTCGCAGGGGTTCTGCCTCCATTCAGACCCCATAGAGTCCAGCTGTTAACCTCTGACCACTGGACACCTGGACAAGCACTGGATAATCTGCGACCCGAACCAGACCAAGGTTTATCAAGTGGGATCAACAGACCCAGGATAATATAACTACCCACCTGCAGATGTTTTTCCGGAGCACCGGAAAATAGATCTGGCAGACTCCGCCCGTTGACTGCACCCCACGTGTGGGCCAGAGTCAGAAGGACGGGCACTGGGTGTGAGTGTTAGTCTCTGAGGTGGTGACTCCCCCAGCGTGGCCCCGGGGCTCCCGGGGGGCTCCATGTCCCCTCCAGGGGATCTCTGAGATCAACTCTATTTTGCAATAACACTAAACTGTCAGATGCTTTTTCCTCTCTCAGTGTACAGTGGAGTTTTCAGCAATTACACGCCTTGCTAGTGCCACAGGTGAAGGCAGAAACAGATGTAAGAATTCAGTTACTTCTATTAAACCGGACATTAAAGAGACCCTGCCAAAAAAAGTGAAACAATGTCCTTCTTCTCCCCAATTTTTCTCAGTCTGAAAATATTTCTCATCAACGTTCATGTTAACATGGTATATCCTGATTATTATTTTAAATGCATTAATAAATGCATATTTCAAAATCTTCTGTTTCCGAATCACAGTCAGCCTCAACAGCTAGAACCCGCAGAAATAAAGGCGATATGGGTTCTCCATCACTTGTAAGAGGGGTAGGGGTCCTGAGACTAAACTTGGAGAACCACTGCGTTAAGGCGTAGTGATGGTGTCTGCTGAAAATTATGGCAATTAGTTAGTTACCCTGGGCCATGGACCAACTCACTCCGCATCTCTTTCTCCTTCAGAGGAATTAGCTAGAAACAGGCCCATTGAAGAAAGAACCGGTGTTGTTGGCGGGGTCATGGAGACACGCCAAAATAGGTCAGAGTTTAATCATAGCAGCAAAATGTCTCATTTTAGCATCTTTGTTCATCTGTTGCTTTTTAAAAAGAATCCACTGCCGTATTCCTTCATTCCGCAAATATGTATTGTGTAATGACTACATGCACAATAGTCATTGCTCAGCTTTGTGAGTGTAAGATTGGCGAAGATTTTACTCTTAGCCTTAAGGACTTACAGTCTAATCAAGGAGAAAGGGCTTTAAGGTTAAACAGAGGCCATGAGAGAGAACATAGGCATAGGCTTAAGACTGAGCAATGACTTCGGTCAAGGGGATTTAAAAATAAAGAAATCTAAACCCTTGGATTGGATCATCTAGCAACGTTAAGGATTTTGGGACGTGTGGGTAGAAAAGGCTGTTCTGCTGAGGGGCCTAGCTTGAGCTGGAGTGAAAATCGCAATCTGCAACCTTGTCAAGTAGTAGCCGGGGGGGTTATTGGAGGTGTGCACCGTGTGGAAGGAAATGGAGATAAATGTGAGCAGGCAGAGGGGTTCGAACATTACTTAGTACTCATGGAAGAGTCGATGTGATTTAAGGAGATAAATTAGCTCTGGGTGGCAGAATGAAAGTGGAGGAGGAGAGAGAAGTCAGGACACTGTTGCTAAAAGGTAAGATCGACCTGTTCTCAGAAATGGAGTGGAGCCCGGCCGGTGTGGCTCAGTGGTGGAGCATCGACCCTGCACCAAGAGGTTGCTGGTTCGATTCCCGCTCAGGGCACATGCTCAGGTTGTGGGCCCCATCCCCAGTGGGGGTCATGCAGGAGGCGGCCATAAATGTTCTCTCTCATTGATATTTTTATCTCTCTCCCTCTCACTTGCTCTCTCTCTAAATCAATAAAGAAAAAACAATAATAATAAAGAAATGGAGGGGGGACCACAGTCCACTAGGAGGATGGTTCTCCACCTTGGGGCACTATACGCTCTCTTTAGACTCTTTGAAAGTTGCAAACCCTCACTTCAAGCAGAAGTGCACAGAATACACACAAAAATCAACCTGCACTTCCATGGTCCCTTCAAGTCCATCCACAGGTCCAAACCTCGGAATCACTTCTCTGCGTGCTTGCATGAGACACTCAGTGCCGGTCCAACGTCTCTTAAGCAAACGATGACATTCCTCAGCTCCTGTGAACCAGGGTCCGCACTCTCTCACGGAAGTCTTCATTTCCGCCAACTGGTAATCACGGTCGGCTGAAGGAATGATATTTTTATTTATTTTTTTTTTTTTATCCTCACCCGAGGACATTTTTCCATTTTTTTCCTTCAGATAGAGCGGGAGGGAGAGAGAGGAAGAGAGAGAGAGAGAAACATCGATGTGAAAGGGACACATCGAGTGGCTGCCGCCCTCACGACCAACCAGGGCCGGGGACAAACTGCAACCGAGGTACGTGCCCTTAGCGGGAACCGAACCCGGGTCTCTCTGTACCGCAGGCCGACGCTCCAACCACTGAGCCAAACTGGCCAGGGCAGGAATGATATTTTTAAAGAGAGAGAGAAAAACCTCTTTTTGTTCTCTTGACCTTCCTGCAGTTTCCACTGAAAATAGACACATTTCCCATGTCTTTTAGCTCTCTGCTCCTCTCCTTCCTGTCGCCCCTAATGACTGTGACCTCAGTGACCTTCCAGAATATCCATATGGCTCTTCCCTCCCTCCCCCCACCTAGCAACACCGTACCTGCTGCATGAGGCTCGGGCTCTCATGACTTTGTTCCTAAGCCTGGCCCCTGCCATCGCCTGGCATTGTCTTCCTGCTATGAGACCGGGCTGGCTCATAAAACATCTCTTTATGTACTTTATTACTTAAACTCTTTTATTTGCCTGCAGGAGCCCTTTAACAAAATCACATTGAATTGACTTTCTCACACCAAATCAAATCTCCCCGGTCCCAGTTCAGTTGTCTTTGTCAATATGTATTTTATAAATGGAGTGAATTAACAGATGCTGTCGGAACAGAAGTGCTGGGGCAGCGTTTATGTTTTTAGTGCTCTCTCTGGGCAGATGAGATGTAGAGCAGCCTTCGACTGGTACCCTGGGATGAAAGTCATGCCCGTCATTTCAGTGGATAAGTATTCTTAACCATTTTCCCCGAATGTATTTCACGCCTCTTTATTACTCTTTGTATTCGTCGTGTTTGCTTATATGATTTTATCGTCGCTGCCATTAATCTTGGGCTGAACTTGATTAGGTTCTGAAGTGTTAAAAGATGAGAAGACAAGGCTCCGTGTTATTCGGAGAGGACAACGTTTGTCGTTAGCCATGGGAAACCTTTGGGAATGATGGCCTTGTTTCTGTCGTAACCGTGGTCCCCGCCACCTTCGATGGGAAGCGCTGGGTGGCTGTTGTCTTGGGAAAGAACACTGAGTTTTCATGTCCTAGACTCAGACTTGGGAGAATGAATGACACCCCCATTAGTCACAGAAGATGGTATTTGGGAACTTGGTAAAAAAGGGGGGGGGTAGTGCAGAACTCCATCCTATGGAGTGTATCAAAAGAATATTCGCCCTGGCCTGGAGGCTCAGGTGGTGGAACCATTATCCCGTTCACCAAAAGGTGACGGGTCCCATATCTGGTCAGGGCACATACCTTGATTGCAGGTTCAATCCCCAGTTGGGGTGCGTACTGGAGGCGACCGATTGATGCTTCTCTCTCGCATCGTTGTCTCTCCCTCCCTCTCTCTAAACAAATCAAAACATCCTCAGTTGAGGATTTAAAAGACTGTTTCATGGGAAGATTTCCCTGACACAATACATTTTTTCAAAGCATCATGTATAAATGCTATAAAATACGTTGCCACGATTTGGGGAGCATTTTTACCCCTTTCTTCTCATTGTTGTCGCAGCCAAGGAGCCCCCTGCTGGTGGAGGCAAGCATGGGTTTCTTTAAGTGTCCGCCAGCAATTTTATGTTTGTCCTCAGAATGACTAACCATAGACCTTTCTTTCCCTTTTCATTCTTTTGGCCTAAACTATAGCCCCTTTGTTGAAATGTGGTTCTCATACTCAACCCCAGAGTTCCACAGTGACGTGGCGTATTCTCGACTCTGTTTTTTACGATGGTACCACTTTAATCTCATAAGCATGATTCATAATGGTTGGGTTTTGTTTTTTTGTTGTTTTTTTTTTTAGAAAAACAGAACCTGTTTATATGCATAAACAAGCCTACATGTTTATGCATGTTTTTATTTGCAGCCCTGGCCAGTAAATAAGAATTGATAACAGACTGAAAGAAATCATAAATAGCGTGAACCAAAAATCCTTTCCTCCCCAATTATCTCAGTTGTATTCAATAGAGTGGAAGCTAGCCTTTGGATATTTATGCTGTCTGGAAAGCGGTTCATTTTCTATATATGCTTTTTGGTCTCAGAAATAAACATCGAATATTTCAATGCACCCTACGCCGCTCGAATAACATCCGCCTCTCGCTGCAAGGGACACTCCACCTTTGTACAAATTTAATGAAGAGCCTCTAGAAAAATAGCTCGAGCCATCAATAATCCATGACCTATTTGGTGTTTCTTTGGGCATATTTAAAATCGTGCATTCTGTGTGTCAAAGTTCAGAAGTCAAGTGCTGCATGTGATGAATTAGGGAGGGGGTCAGAAGTTATGGCAATGCAGTTTCAGGAGATGGCCCGGCTCTGGATTTGAGCTCATTCATGCTGAAGTGATGCACCCTGGGAATTACTACCGAGCCCTGCTCTGGAACATCTGCTCTCCCTAAGTGAGTTAGTGCACATCAGACATCTTTATGTCAGAATACCGCAGTGATGGATGCAGTCTTCAGAAAAGGCTGCATAAAAATCTGGTGCGCCGTTCTGGCCATTAAGTGAAATTACTATTTAAATTAATGGCACTGTCACAGTTTATCTGAGCAAAGAATGAACGCTGATTAGGGTATTAAGTAATTAGCAATTTATCACACTGGAACAAGGTGGATAATAATTAAAGAAGTAATGGTTTACCAAAGGAACTAGAAAGGGAGTCACTTCTTGTTATGGGAAGGAAATCTTGGCTGAAAATTTCAGTTCAGTGAAACAAACAGGAAGAGGACTCTTGGTGAAAAAAGGCAAATCCTCCCCCCCTTTTTTTCTCTAGTGTGAAAACAGGGCATTATCAAAATTTTAGTTGACCTGTCAAAAGTCCCTCCGAGCGATCGGAGAGATGACCTATTCAGGGTTTGGAATTAGGTCGATGTCTGCACTTTGATTTTCCACTGTAGAGCATGGTGAAGCCATATTCTGACATAATTTGGGAGGAGAAGAGAGAAAGTATTCTGCTCCCTCAGGGGCCGGTTTTCAGAATTTGATCACTCTTTGAAATAAAAGCATGAATAATTTTAAGAAAACCAGTACAGAAAAAAATAACAGTAAAGAATCCAAGGTGGTATTTAAGTGTCTGATCTGAAGGCAGCAGAAAAACATCCAAATAATAAAAAACTTGAAGTTGGGGATTTTGTGTGTGTGTGTGTATGATTTTTATCCATCATAATCAAGACTCAGACTACAATGATAGCTCTGCTGTGTGTTATTTGAGAGAACTTATTTCCTGGAAATGTTAAAACATCTAAAATTAAAAGAGCACCAAAGAAAACAGTTTACTTTTAAACCAATGACTTTGAGCAGTTATCACCTTTAAACATGTCAAAAGTCACTTGTGATCAATGTATTGCATTAACCACAAATACAAATGTTTTCAATAACTGGAGATATTTTTGAAGTTGAGCCCTGGCCGGTTTGGCTCAGCAGCTGAGCATCGGCCTGCAGGCCAGAGAGTCCCGGGTTCAGTTCCCGCTAAGGGCACGTACCAAAAACAAAAACAAAAACCGAATAAAGTTGAAAGATAGAGAGTTCTTTGGGGTCCTGTGTGTGGAAACATCTTTCTAAGGCACATGCCAAGCCAGTGTCTAGATACAATGGTTAAAAAAGATAAATAAATAAAACTCGTTGGTCTATTATTAGGAGTGTCTTTCATAATGTAGTGTTTGTACAAAACCAGATTAAACACTTCAGGGCCCCAGGGCACTTTGAAGTTGAGGTTCTTTATGTTATCAGTCGGGACTAACAATAAACAAAATTCTATTTAAAATAAATCACTGCATTGTGCTAGTATATATCAATGGATATATGTGCTATGTGGTATGATACTGTGGTATGGGGTACAGGCACCTTAATTTCTAGCTTGATCTGACTCTGGGGCACTGTTTATCATTCAGGCTTGTGTATCCAAATCTTTGCCATGTCTCTTCCATGGTACGATCTAGATGTGAACAGAGTTAGTTAAACCGAATTGGGTGGGAGAAAGGAGTCCGTCTGGAATCTCAGGTGCACGGTCCTTCCTAGGTAGAGGTCACTGATGCTGCCTCCAAGACCTTTGTGACGCCGCCCCCTCCCTCTTCTCAGCCTAGCAATGGGTCTAGAACACGGCGTAGCTCCAGACACAGTGGCCGGACGGTTCACCTGCCCAGTGAGCATGCTCAGTGGGTGCCAGTCTGTCTCATGAAGAAAGAGCCCAAATGCCCACCAGTAGACGAATGGATAACAAAGCTGTGGTACATGCACACAATGGAGTACTATGCAGCTGTAAGAAAGAAAGATCTCTTATCCTTTGAGACGACATGGAGGGACCTGGAAAGTATTATCCTAAGCGAAACAAGCCAAGCAGAGAAAGACAAATATCACATGATCTCACTTTCGTGGAATATAATAAACATAACAGTCTGAGGAATAGGGTAGACCCAGAGACGTGGAAGTAGGGTACAGACTGACAACCCTCAGGAAAGGGGGTTGGGCGGGGCAGAAACCATAGCACTTAAATGCATGTACGCATAACCGATGGACACAGACAGCAAAACTGGGGACGGGGTGGGAGGGATGGGGAGGAGGGTGTCAGTGGTGGATCAAAATGGAAACATCTGTAACAAGTGTAAATTAATAAAATAAAATTTAAAGAAAAGACAAAAAAGAAAAAGAAAGAAAGAATGTTGACCGCTATTGGATTCAGGCAACAACTAAGAGTCCCACAGCTGCACCTGAAATTCTAGAAAGGGTTATGTCCCCGCTTCTGTCTGGCGGCTTCTTCCGAAGACTGGGGTGGCCTCTCCTCCCCTGTGAATTTCTAGGGATGTCTTCTGTGTCCCTTGGTTTTAACCCCCCTTCCTTTCTGAACGTGTTACCATCACAGAAGGGGCAGACGATTCTCAGGGCAGAAATCAGATCTTATTTTTTTTAATTTTATTTTTTTCTCTTTATCAATTTTAGAGAAAAGGAAGGAAGAGGGAGAGAGAGAGAGAAACATCGATGAGAGAGAACACTGATTGGCCGCCTCCTGCATGCCTCCCCCTGGGGATTTGGCCCACAACCTGGGCACGTGCCCAGACCAGGAATCGAACCAGTGACCTCTTGGTGCAGGGTCGACGCTCAACCACTGAGCCACACTGGCCGGGCCAGATCTCTTTTTTTATGGAGCTTGGGGACGTGTGGCCCCCCAGTGCTTCTGGAAGCCTCCCTCTCCTGTGATCCTTCACTAACTAGAGCCTGGTGCTTTGGTACGTGAGACCCTCACTCCCGCGTGTCCATCCCCTCGGCAGGGACACGCTCCTTCGGTACGGCACCGTTTCAGCCACGGCCGGAGTCTGACATTTTCGTCCCAAACTTGGCAGCCCCTGCATTTCCTTCCCGTCGGTGGGTTTCCTTCTCATGCACAGTTTGTGGTTGCAGGGATGCGCTGTTGCGGGCAGGATTACGTGAACGTGTCCGAGGCCATATGCTGCTCAGCCTCCAGCGGAGCCGCGGAACCACCCGTGCAGGAGAGCGACCCGGCGCCAGCGCGATGCTGTGAGCCACAGCTCGTTCCAGAGGGCCGGGGATGCTGCGGCGGGGTGGGATACGATCCTGCGAAGTCTGTCTGCGCTGACGGCGCTGCAGCCGGGAGCACGGCGGAGGTACGGGCTGGGGCACCTCTCGGAGGCGCGGGTGGACGACGGAGACGGGGACGGGGCGCCCGAGCCGTGCGTCCAGGGCAGGAGTGCGAACACTCCGTGTGCGTTGTCCACACTCGCTCCGCGGCCTTATTAACCCCCAGGGAGTCCGCTGTGACCAGTGCCCAGAATCCTGAAGGAACTGGTACCGATCGGCTGTTCTCCAGGAGCTTACCCGGCACGGCAGCTTGGGGCAGGACTGGGAATCGTGTGCCCAGAAAATCTGTGTGTCCTCTTGGTGTCCGGGCCCCCGCGTGGTAGCATCTCATGCCCGTGGGTGCCGTGGAGGGAAATGGGGGGAACTCCTGGCTGCTTCCCTCGGGCCCCTCCACCATGAGCCGCCACTTTTCTCTGCTGGAGACCTTGGACGGAGCACATCCGCTGAGTTGTGTTTATTCCTTGAGACAAGCGAGGCGAAGGCCTCTGTCTGCTCGGAAAGGGCCGGGTCTCTGGGGATTGTTTGGTTCATACTTCGAGGCTTCCCGTGCAGCCCTGTCCTTACACTTGACCCGGACTCAGAAACCGACCCTCTGCCCTCAGGGGGGGGTGTTCAGTGCCCCCTTCGTTTTCCTCTTTGCTTTGTTTCTGTTTCCTCAGTTCTTTCTGTGTTTTCAGTCTCTTCTTTCCACTGGAGGTCAGTGGACTAGATGTCCATCCGCAGGGCGATCGTGCAACGGAGTGGACTTGTGGTCAGGGGACCACGACACCGAGCATCCGTAACGAGTATACGGAATTAGCCACGTTCATGACCTCGCCTACGCCGGCATGGGATGTGCCCAGCCTCCGGCGTATGGCGAGCCTGGTGGGACCCGGCTGAGTTCTCGCCATGTACTGTGGAGACTTTTATTTCATGTTCTCACTCTGGCACCTGACGTACACCTTCCAGTGGGCCCTCTGTTTTCTGTGTGTGTGTTTAATTGTACCACTTCTCTTCTAAGCTTATCTCATTTTGTCACACGGCAAGTACAGCCGGTGTCACCATGTACACGCAATGGACGATTGAGTTAAGCCCTCTGTCCCTAGAACTGTGAGCTCAGTAGCAGTTGGCTTAGTTGTCCAGGGCACAGGGTTACTCAACATCTGGCCCTGACATAACAGAGCTCCCCAGTGTCCCAAGCCCCAGGGTATGTTTCTCTGTCAACACAAGCCAGTGCTACCTATTTTAGAATTTTGTTGTCATTGTGAAGACAACATCCAACCTCCAAGTCCTAATGTGTGTTCCAGCTAGGACACAAGAAACTGTGCACTTGCATATGGAATTCGGGTGTTTCGTTTCTTTGCTTTGTCATCCAGTGACAATTAGTCTCCTCCACGCGGTGTTGCAGGAACCCAAGCCCCGTTCATCTCCTGATGCTTCTCACACGGCCCTCAGTTCCCAGGGGAGGGAGGAGCGTGGTGATGGCCTGTCCATGGGTCTTACCTGGATGCAGAGTGTATCCTTCCTGTAGCCAGCCACACAGGTGGCTCCTCGGACGGCAGCTGGCTTGAACGTCCAGCCTTGCCAGGGAGAGAAGGCTGACGTGGGCACCGCAGGGTGCAGGTCACTGTCTCTGCCACGTCCGTCAAGCCCCAGCTCCCGACGGTGTTGGAGCTGCTCCGAGTGTGTGTCCCTTCCTGTTCCTTCATCTTCCCTCTTCCTTTACTGCTACCCGATGAGCTTTAAGAGGAACCGGAGATAAATGCCGATGTTCAGTTCACCGTATTGAAATGCAACTCCTACGGTGTTGGTATTTCTCCGAAGCAGCTTTACTTTGACCACCTTTGGGAGAAGAACTTGCTGATGTCAGAGAGGGGCTGAAGGTAGATCCGTTTAAATAGCAACAATTACTGTAAAAGCACGATGCTACCTATGGCAAAGCAAGGGTAAGTGGAGCTGTGTATTCTGAGAACACGGGTGGAGCAGAAGGAGGTTTACAGTTGTGAGTATGTGAAACACAGAGTTCATCCTTGTATTATTATTTATTAATGATTATTTTTTATATGAACAACTATAAACCTACTTTGGCCCCTCCCTGTATTGACTTGTATATATCCCTGTATTTGAGATGATGACATTCTTTATTTTCTGAGATTAGAACCTATTAGTATCTATCAATAACTATAAAAATCTAGAGAGTCATCAGAGACAAGGTTTACAAATATCAATAATGATTTTAATGACAGCTCACGAATGCGGAATACTTCTTACAGGTCATCCTTTCCCAACAGCACAGAAAGTGCCGACCCTCAGATACCACATTCCTCATTTCCCCAAAAACTTCACTAGGAAAGTGTTAAAGTGCCCTGGCCGGTTTGGCTCAGCGGTTAGAGCGTCAGCCTGCGGTCCAGAGAGACCTGGGTTCGATTCCCACTAAGGGCACGTACCTTGGTTGCAGTTTGTCCTTGATCCTGGTTGGGTCGTGCAGGAGGCAGCCACCCGATGTGTCCCTTTCACATCGATGTTTCTCTCTCTCTCTCTCTCTATCTCTCTCTCTCTCTCCCACTCTATCTGAACCAAAAATGGAAAAATGTCCTCGGGTGAGGAAAGTGTTGAAGTGACCATGATAGAATAATGAAAATCATTTTACATTGTAGTAAATAATGTAGATTATTAATTACAGTGTATCTGTTGAGTGGAAGGCCTTCCCAGGTGTTCTTTGATTCCCACGACAAACCTGCGTGCTAAATTTAATTTCCGTCTTGTCACTGAAGCCAAGGCTTTGAGACTACATGTGACTTGCTCAAGGTCACAGAACCGGGAACTTGAAAACTGGGTCTTGAACCCAAATCTGTGTCCTTTCAATGTAAGCGTTCTTTCTAGAACACAAACTGCCTTCATTTCCTTTTTGTGAATTTGGAGATTCTCACTCATGAGCTAGGTGGAAGATAATTTCATTTGAAAGTTGTGAAACTCGACCCCAGGTATGTCGAAATGAAACGGTCAAGTTCTCCTCTCCCCTCTCCCCCCCACCACCTGGCTTAGGACACCGGAGTGTGCAGGACAGTCTGTCCAGTGTCCATGGAGACCACAGCGCACTGCGGCAGGTGCGACTTCAACCTGACCAGCCACGTCTGCACTGTGATCAGAGGGTCCCACAGGTCCCCCGAGAAGCCGCCAGTGGAAGAGACATGCTCCTCTGCAGAAGAGACTGTCCACACGGGGAGGGCAGACACATTCTCCTTTACAGGTAACAGAAGGGGAGCCGCTGCCCGTGGTGTGGGAGGGGTAGTGACAGCTGCCGAAAGGCACACTGATTTCACTCGGACATCATCTCCCTCCTTAACCCTGTGGCAATTAATCCCGTCATCCTAGGGGCCAGCTCCTACAAGGTAATTCAAGGCATGATCTGGATTTGTTCAAAGTTAGCAGTTTCAGTATTTTTAAGTCTTACTTTAAACAAGGATGTGTGCCATTTTAAAGTAAATCTGTAGGGAAGAAAGAACAAATAAATCGTTTGTCTTTATGTGGCAATAAGTAGATAGTAAAGCTTTGTAGCGATGGAATGACACTTGGTGATACGTGTTTTTGAAGGATTACTCAGTCAGCTACAGAAATGATTGAAGGCAAATGTGTGGGGGACATTTAAGCAATCATCAAGTAAATATTAAACATCCGTACCCCAAAAAAACAAACCCCTCTATTATAAGAAGACTAACCCCATATAACACACACAATGATTTTGAGATGCCAAGTTTTTTTAAAAAATGGAAATTCTGGCAAAGGAGAGTAAAGGTCTGAGAAGGAGAATGAGCCCTTTTGTGTGAAGCAAAAAGAATGCTTTTGTGCACTGGAAGCATCTTTGAAAGACTGAACCTCACAGGAAAACCAAGTAACAAGGGTAAGAGCTGAGAGTGAAAAGGAGAAGAAAGAAATACGTTGGAAGAAAGAATAAGGAAACGAAATTAGAAATGGTGATGGGGTTTGAAGGGTGGGAGATAATAGGTATTAGCAAGGGATCATTTAATCTGCTATTGTAAAGAGATTTGAAAGCATAGTGACCATCTGTGAGCGGGTGGATGGGCTGGGTCTCCCAGCTCCAGAGTCCGTCAGGGATCCAGGTTCCTTCCACATTGTGGCTCATGGGGCTTCAGGTGCTGCCCTCATCCACACGGTGCAGCCTGAGTTGCCATTTCCTAGCTGTAGCCCGTTAGCAGGGGACAAGAATGGAATCGGAAGGCAGTGATTTCCTCTTTAGAAAGTGATGCACGAATAGCCTATATCACTTCATGACCCTTCCTTTGTTGAGATCTGAGTCATGTGACCACACCAAGCTGCAAAGAACACTGGGAAATGTAGTCTGGCCAGAATGGAAGGGAAATCTGGGGACTCACTGGTGTTCATCACAGCTTACAAAGGGCAGAGACCTTCTTACCAGAGAAAATGGATACAGAGATAATCTCTTACATTTGATAGCAATTTACATTTTATGAACTTCTGCCATATAACTTATTGTATACTAACTCTATAAAGTAGGCAAGGCAGGATTGATTGTTAGACATGCATGTAAGAAGAATACGGCCAAAGAACACAAGTGCATGGACTGAAAATTAATCCGCTGCAGACATGGAGAGAGAGCAGGTTGCCAGACAGCCAGGGGGACCTCTAGTGCTGACCGCTACCTGAGAATGAGTCACCCAGGAACCAGCATGCAACAATACATGCCTACACACAGACATACATTCATACCAACATGATGCATACACGCATGCATGCATCTGTACACAATGCATTCACTCATGCATACATGTGTACATATACAATACATGCATATTCAAGACTCCCAAGATCAATAAGTGGAAAATAGAGTTAAATAAACTTTCAAGTAATATCTGTTTGTAAATGGTAGCAGTTGTACTTCTGAAGTTATTAAAACTTAAAACTGAACTAAGACTTTTGGGCCACCGCTGAATCCTGCGGATAATTAGCTGATAAAACGTTTGCCCCGAAGCTCAGCAGATCGGCTCTGCTGTTCTGTGTAGGTGGGCGGTGTTCAGCTGTGTCTCCGTGGACGGGGAAGCAGGACAGAGTGGAGGGAGCGATCATTCCTATCCACTCCCCATGACAAGCGAAGTTCCCAGCCCTGCGTCTCATCACAACTATACCATAATCTATAGAACAAGTCAGTAAAGTAATATTAACACTGAGAGAACTGGTAAAATGTAGAACCATGAAACTGCAGGAGGAGAATTTGGCCAAACTGCTTTCCCCAGAAGAGAAGGGAATGGGAACTGATGAAGCGATGACATCCCGTGTACATCAGTCTAGGGCTTTTCTTTCCTAACCACCTCTCCAGTGTGCCCTGGCTCTCTGGTCGGAAAAGGTGAGCTCATTCTGTGCTATTCCATCTCTGTGCAGCAACACAATGTGGGGACTGCATTTCTGGTTCCTGGAATCAAGATCTGAGCGTCTTCTTTCCAGTGATCGGATTAGAGCCCTCAGAATTTTTTTTTGAGCGTTGAAAGGTTTTACTATTCGTTTTCAACATGATGGTAAACTAATAAAAACTTTCTGACTGTTCCATGTCTACTTTCCCAGAGGCGAACCTGGAGCCCTATACCACGTATGAGTACAGGGTCTCTGCTTGGAATGGCTACGGGCGAGGTTTCAGCAAAGCCGTTAGAGCCAGAACGGAAGAAGGTATACCAGAAGGACTGAGTCCCCCTCGGTGGATCACCACGGACAACCCTGAAGACGGAATAGTCTTGGCCTGGAAGAAACCCATACAACCGAATGGTATTAAACTCCTTCGACAGAGAATCACCCTAGGCCCGTAAATCCATCAGCCCATGGAAATGAGTGTAACCTACATTTCATTGCATACCTCTAACCCCTAAAAAGTATTTCCTGCTCAAGTAGACTTGAGGTTTGGGTCAGCTGATCATTCGTTTTTGACATAGAACTCACATATTTTGAGCCCCCCATTCTTTTCTTGAACCCCAGCCTGTATCAGAGTTGCTTTCACCAAACAAAGCACATTGTGGGAAGGAGAAGTAGTTTTACTCTCAAAAGTAAATTTGCCTGCCAGCAATGGGAAATGACCGTGAATGACTCTGATTAGCTATGTCAAGAACCCATCTCTTCCCTAAAAGTGCATATATTTAAGAACGGCTTGAACACAGCCAAGAGATAGCAAGTGAGAATTAAATAATGCTGGAGCACCCCATTCCTTCAGTACTCTGGGACATGTAAGTTGCTTGAAAATAGTGACAAGAATATGCCTCTCAAATACAGGCATGTCCCTGCCTCTTTTAGGTCCTATCACTTACTACATTCTTCTCCGAAATGGAATGGAACTGTTCCGGGGAACATCACTGACCTTCTCTGATACAAAAGCAACTCAGCCTTTTCAGGAATATTCATATCAGCTGCAAGCTTGCACACTTGCTGGGTGTGCCACCAGCAGTAAGGTAAGAGGGGTTTGCCTCAAGTCTGGACGCTATTACCCGCCGTGGAGACTGTCTAAACGTCTAGGTCGTGAGTGTTTCCAGCCACAGAAGACAGTGTTTCTCTCAATAGTGTGTTAAGTAGGGAGACCACATGGCAGCGCAATAGGTCCTAATGCTTATGCCTGAAAGTAGAGATCACTGGCCCTGCCCAGGTGGCCCAGTTGGTTGGAGCATCGTTCTGTATACCAAAAGACTGTGGGTTCAGTTTCCGGTCAGGCCACATTCCTAGGTTCGAGCAGAGGACCAGAGGCGATGAGCCCGGGCGATGCTGCCCAGTGAAGGCAGGAGATCTCCCCGAGGGCCTGGGAGAGACAATCAAACACTCCGGGAGGACAGTCCAGAGTCATTGTCACAGAGGATTCCCAGGAGAAGACAAGCACACAGCTCTGATCTGCACATGTAGTTAAGTCTTTTCTTTAATTGTTAATTAATTTATTTTTGTTACAGGTGGTTCTCCTTTTTCCCCCATTGACTCCCTCTTCCCGTCCCCTCCCCAGCATGGTTGTCCTAAGTCCATTGGTTACGCATACCTGCTTTTGTTCTGTGATTTATCTCTTCCCTCCCTTCACCCCCCTCTTCTGAGGTTTGTCAGTCTGTACCCCACATCCATCTCTGGGTCCATTCTGTTCATTGGTTTGTTTAGTTCATTATATTCTAAAAATAAGTGAGATCATGTGATATTTGTCTTGCTCTGCCAGGTCCCTCCATGTCATCTCAAAGGATAAGAGATCCTTCTTTCTCACAGCTGCATAGTACTCCACTGTGTACATGTACCACAGCTTTTTTATCCACTCATCTATTGAAAGACGCTTGGGCTGTTTCCAGATCTTAGCGATTGTAAATAATGCTGCTATGAACATGGGGGTACATATATTCTTTCTGATTGGTGTTTTAGGCTTCTCAGGATGTATTCCTAGAAGTGGGATCACTGGGTCAAATGGCAGTTCCATTTCAATTTCTTGAGGAGACACCATACTGTTTTCCTTTAGCTGAGCAGCATGTCGGGCCATGTGTGAGAACCATCCATGTCAAACATCCTGCCAAACTGTGTTCTGCGTTACAGTCTCCAGACCCCCAGGAACATGTCACCACTGGGGCAGGTGGCAGCCGATTTTCCCAATCACAAGTCAGGGTCTGAACAGTCCTAGAAAACTCAGCGTAGGCACAGCTGCAACCTACCAGATGCCCCAACGTTGGCTGAAAGGTGAAATCAGAGTAACTTAGGTGAAAAAAATAAACAACAACGACAAATGCAGCCCTTTTTGTCCCAAAGTCATAGTTGGACAAGGTTGAACAAATAACTGGTTGATTTGTTCTTTTTTTTTCTTCTGGGACGTCCGTACAGACACGAGAGAGTCATCCGGGGAATCACGGGAGGAGGAGGAAGAAGTCTGCCATGTATACTGTTCAGACCGTGTTATATGCAAGCCCTGATACAGCTTTTGCTCCATATTTACTGGTGCTTAAAATGTATCAAATCAGGCTGTTAAAATGCAAAGACACTCATGGGCCATATGGAAGAGTGTTACGGAGAGTTCTCTAGGAAGACAGTCTGCCAGCCAGATTTCACTTGTTTAAACTGACGGCTGCACTCCCGGAACGGGGGGACCTGTTGTCATAGATCTAGTCTGAGACTTCGGTAATGTATCCAAGGTCAGACGTAACTCTTTCCGTGGGATGGGAGGGAAGGAAGCGAAGACGGTCGCTGCTTCTCCCAGCCCCTGCTAATAACACGCCAGGCCAGACAGCAACCTTTCGAAACAAAGGCGATATTCTCATGGACCAGAACGGCTCATGGACTGCTAGATAAATCGCTGTTCACTGCTGTGTTTCAGGTGGTGGCAGCGACGGCCCAGGGAGTTCTGCAGAGCATCCTGCCACCGAGGGTCACAGCCGCCACCGCAGACGCTCTGCATCTGAGCTGGGATGTCCCCGAGAAACCAAACGGCATCATTCGAGAGTACCAGCTCCGGCAGGTGGGGAAAGGTCTCATCCACGCTGATACCACTGACAGGAGGCAGCATACGGTCACAGGTAAATCCTACCGCAAGAGTCTGTCACCGTGGCTGGGGGGGCCGAGCATCCCAAGGATGTGTGATTGATGTATGAGGTCACTACGGAAGGACGTGTTCTCTTGACATATGGTCAGATCCCACTTACCCACACTAATAGAAGAACCCACACTGGCAGCAATAAGCCACAACAGCAGATAACTTCAGAAATAATTTATATTTGGCTTTGATATGCATTATGTGTAGGGGTTCTGCATCGGTATTCATTTTTTTTTTTTTTAACCAGATAAACAGTAAGATGCATTTTTATTCCCCAAGGATACACTCATAGATAATAGGACCAGGGTAGCCAAGAATGTATTAGAAGGCGGGGGAAAATCAACCAGAGGCCAACATTTATCTACTAAGTATGCAATTAATACACAGAATAGTTGACAGTTGACTGGTTGTGACAACGTGGTATGATTAACATCAATTAATAATTGTATTATTTTCACTGTTTATTATAACAGTAGGTAATTAGCTTTAATAGTAAAAATAATAGTACAATATTATAGTACAATTATTATACTAATAATCGTATAATATACCAGTATCATGTTAGATAATTACTGGTAGTGATTATGATGATAATGAACATGTTTTAGCTTGAATGTCACTTCTGTTGGTGGGGAGGATTTTCTCACGTACGCAGCCTAGTTTTGCTTCCCTAACTCACCACCATATCCTTGCTTAGTCTTCATTGTCGACTTCTCGCTGCCTGATATTTTCCTCGGTTTTTTCTTTGTCTCTTTATGTCTCTTTCCTCTGGAATATGAGCTTGAGGAGAGCAGAGACCTTCTCTCCCTAGTTCAACACTGTACCTCTAGCCCCTAGAACAACCCTCAACACATCAGCAGGTACTGAGCAAATGTTTGGAGGAGTCAATGAACTTAATACATGCTACTATCCTGAGCACTGTATGTGTGTTACCTGATTTAATCCTCATTATAAACCTATGAGAATAGAGAATTATTATCCCCATTCCATTTTAAAGCCAAGAACACTTTGAGAGATGAAGGAACTTGGTTCATTATTTGGATCCATTGACTCATCCCAACGTTATGGAAGTCTCGGTTCTAAGGCCATGGACAAGTGTTTGCAAATGTATACTGTCTCCCCATTGTCCCCAGCCTCGCTACAAGGCCTCCGAGTGGTGGTCTCCTTGCGATGGACCCCTCTCCTTGCAGGGGTGTTCACACCAGGGATAAGTAAACTCCCACGGAAGTGCAGTAAAGCATGCAGCTGTGTGCCTGATTTTCTCCTAACTCCACGATCCGCTGACACACAGCGAGCATTCGGACAGACTGTCCTGTCCTCCAAAAGTGCCACAGGCCTGCTTAATACATATTTGGGGACCAGCACGTTTTCTTTGTGTCTGGGGGTCCTGAGCTCACTCCGTGCGGGTGGAAATAGGGAGAGCCCTCACCAATTCAGACCATCGCATGTGTCCCTTAAGATCTTGTTTCTCTAAAAAGGAAAACCATCCCAAGTCATTGAAGTAACACTGTTTCACATAATGAAACCTTACCTGTAGCTGGTGCTTTAGAATTTTAAAGAACCGTTTGCATTCGGACTCATTTGATTCTCATCATTTCCCTGTAGGATTAACTGAGGAATTTTTTTTCTTTATTGATTATAGAGAGAGAGGAAGGGAGAGGGAGAAAGATAGAAACATGGATGAGCGAGAACATCAATTGGCCGCCTCCTGCACGCCCCCCACTGGGGATTTGGCCCACAACCTGGGCTTGTGCCCTGACTGGGAATCGAACCGGCGACCTCTTGGTGCATGGGTCGATGCTCAACCACTGAGCCACACTGGCTGGGCTAACTGAGGAATTTTTTTTATTAACATTTGAAAAACCTACCTGGAGTCCCCAAAGCCTTGACTGCCACTATCTATAAGTAAGAAAATCAGAATACTGTTTAATCCATCACCACCACCATCCCGCCAAAAAAAGTGTTGCTGGCTTGCTCTGTTCTTAATGCTCTAAAATAATTAAAAATTATTGCTGCTCTTAAACTCCCAGGACTAGTGAGCAGTGAGAAGTTCAGAATAACAGCAAATACAATGTTACAGATGCTACAACCCAGCTCTAGACAGGATGTGGGAGGGATGTTGAAGGAATCTTGGAGGAGTCATGGACTGTCCATCCCAGAGTTCTGAAAGCCAAGTCAAGTCACAGTGAGACGTTGCAGCAGGAAATGTTTCACAAGAAGCTGGGATACGAGGCAAAGGAGTGTTCACCGTCTTACGGTGTCTGTGTATTTAGCTGGTGTTGACTTTAAATTGTTGCTAATTCGACTGGTTTGCATTTTCGGAACCCAGTATTTATATGCCAACAGACCAAATTCCACTGTAGCGTTCAAAGCAACAGATTGATAGCTTCGTTCATTATGAAAGAATTGCAAAGATTGTTTTTATTTAAAAAAACAAACAAACAAAAACACTTTACTCCACCAGGTCTTCCTTTTATTGTCCTTCTTAATGGGTATTTTCACACCAAAGAGGATTTTATGCACTTAACGTCATGTCAGAAATCTTCTTTTATTAGAATATATGTTTTAAAGTTTTTCCCACCATAATTTGACTTGCTACAAAATTCTAAAATGGAGAAAAGCCTTTAGAATCCGTTTGGTCCATTTGTCCCGTTTGAGATGGATTTAGAGAGCACGTCACTCGGGCAAGGCAGCCCCAAAGACACAGTTCTTTTTTGCAAGAGGAAATTAACCCTCGTTCAGCAGAACCTGAGCGAGTTCAGAGCTGCCCACGTGGCCCGCGTGGGCCGGGAACTGTGCTCCGGTGGCGTCCGGTGATCAGAAGCCCGAGATCCAGGCGGTGTGGACACATTTCACCTGCTCCGTGGTGAGCCGCCCGACCACATTCAGCACAGGCGTGTTTTACAGTGTGAATGGCTGTTTCATTGAGTTTATGGAAGGAGCTAAAAGAAGCAAGTGTATTTCATCTTTCATCTCAAATGTTTGATCGAATTGCTGCCTGAACCCCCTGGGAGAAATGCTTTGATTTTCTCATCATTCCCCAAACCCTGGCATTCCCCAGGTAAGAGGGGACGGCTAATGAAGTTGTCGCTCTAGTCTTCCTGGAGCCGGAAGTCTAGGTCTCACAAGGACCGCGGGGGAAGCCAGCACCCAGCCTTAGCCGCCTTGTCTCCGTGCTTATTTTTAATTACCTCCAAGCTCCAGAAACATGATCCGGTAAATGCTTTGTGGGAATAGTGGCGAAGGCACTCATCACGTGCGATCCATAAATTGCTTATAATCCTTTCAAGATGTTAAAAAAAGCATTAAGTAATTGAAGACAGGAAGTCCTCAGTTAATTATTTAGAGGTGTTATCAATGCTCTAAGTAAACCGAAGCGTTTTCTGCTATCGCACTGAGCTGAATTCCGAGGGGACGGAGCAGCTGCCATATTCTTCTCATCGTCGCTAATGCAAACAGCACACGGCAGCTTGTCAATAAGAGACCCTTCCAGATCGCTTATGACTAAACACGACCACCAGCCCGCACGGAGCAACGGGGTGTCAGCGAGGGCACCGGCTCGCTTTGGGTTACCACCGCTTTAGACGGGGGGCCTCCTGATTTCGGTACTGGGGCAGCGGCAGGGAGAAGGGATTAACGACATAATTAGGGCCACTGAGAATAAATGAATTAATCATGTCCTCTTTAGCAGCAGATATGATAAGGGCTTATGTGTTCCTTAACTCCTGGGGAAATGTGTTTGTTTCTTTTTTTTTTTCTTCCCCCTAATTCATTCAAAATCGACGTTCACGTAAAAGGGAAGACGCGCCAACATTAAGTTGTCAAGGGGAGAGGTCTGCCTTCCATCCTCTGGTCCTCTGGGAAGCTGGTGAAACCGCCTCTTGCCAAAGCAGCACCAAGCGTGCGAGTTACAGAAGCGCTACTGCAGGCAGGCGGAACCAGACGTCCGCTATCCCTTTCGGAAAACAGAGGACATACTTTGACCACCAACGTCACAAAACACGGAAACCCTTTCTAAAGGGGTTTGGCATCTCCATGATTCTGGATGATTCTGTACGTTCCCTGCGGTAGCATTTATTATACTTTGTTGCTATATGCTGTTCTCTTGTTTCTGTTCCTCACCTAGTAGGCAAAGCCTTTTAAGGAGAGAAACAATGGCCCTTATCTCTCGTCTGCTGCGATGGGCACTTTGCTTCTCCCTTAACACATACTAAGTATTTAAAATATTTGTCGAGTGAATAAATGTTGAGTAGCGGACTAGTATCGGAATGCCTACATGTCATTTGGAGCACATGTAAAATGGACACTGTCCATGCATCTAAATCTCGAACAGGAATGGGCTCTAAAATATGTAAGGCCTGGGGCATAATGAAATCGGGGCCCCCTGTTCAAGTCATTAAGAATTTCAGGACAGCCTGGCCCCTGTGGCTCAGTGGTTGGGCATCAACCCAGGCACCAAGAGGTCACCAGTTCAATTCCCAGTCAGGGCACATGCCCAGGTTGTGAGGCCGATGCCCAGTGGGGGGCGTGCAGGAGGCAGCCAGTCGATGTTCTCTCTCATTGATGTCTCTCTCCCTCTCTCTTCCTCTCTTTCTAAAATCAATAAAGAAAAAAAACTTTTTTTTTTTTAAATTTCAGGACAGTTCAGCAGGGGGTTGAGCCAAGCATGGGGCCATTCTGTGCGAGGGAGCTTGCGTGACAGCCCAGGTCCCACACTGTGAAGCCAGCCTCGCCCTCTGCAGTGTGGGTTGATTGGCGGGACGTTGCTGTCATGGGGGCAGACAGGAGGAAAACTGAGCGGGCAGTCATGTCCCCGGAACGGTTTCAGGAGCATCTTCTGTAGTTAGTTTCTAGTGCCCTGGGCCGTGTTTCCCTCTCTGCCCCCTGCCCACAGTCACCCCACATCAGACCTGTGAGAACAGAAACGACAATTCATCTTGTTTTACTTTTCCCAAGTCGGAGGAAAACGTGCCTGACTACAGC